ATGGGAACAAGGACGGGGGAGGGGAGGGGAAGGGAGGGCCTGGGGAGAGAGAGCTGCTAAGTGCGCCAAGGGGGCGTCAGGGGGCGCGGGCGGGGCGTTTTGGGGAGCAAGCGAGGGTGTGTAGGGCAGGAGTAGTGTGGGCCCTGGGGGAAGGGGGGCTGTGCAGGGTTGCGGTGTATGGGACATAACCCATGGAGAGGTTAGGGAGAGGTTATGTGCGTGTGGGACAGATAGAAAAGGGGATGTCAGGAGGCTGCATACAGGGGTGCAGGTGTGGGCTGAAGGCAGAGATGGCGTGAACAGGGCTGCAGGAGCGTTGTGAAGGCTCAGAGCGGGGCCAGGGCTCAGGTAGCACTTATACAGGGGTCTGGGGTGCCCCAGACACCTCTGTGCATCATCTGATAAACCCAAGGGATCTCTGTGGAAAATGTCTGAAATGCCGCAAGGGTGTAGCATGAAGATTTCCTGTTGTTTGCAAATACACCCTGAAATATCACTGAAGTACAGGGAGGGGTGTGCGTATTGGATGCACCTCGCTACGAAAACAACTCTGGTGATTTCCCCAGGCCTTTGTGGGTAATTGAGAACAACCTGTGTCACTCAGGAGTACATGAGGATGGTGTCTCCATCCTGTGCATGTCAGAGCTTGTCGTTGCTTTGCAGCTGAGTGGATGGGTCAGACCCTCTCTCCCCAGGTAGCCCAGGAAGGGTGCTGAAGAGCCCAGTGTGGTGCTTGAGCAGCTGGGAGCAGGATGGTCACAGGCATCCTCTTCCCACTGTGTCAGAGAAGGTGGTTTCTGTGGTGGAGTCTTGGAGTTTGTTTTGCAGGTTAGAATTTGAGGGTTGAAGCCAGAATCGGCTGGGGCATTGTCTGAGCATTTTTTTAGCGTGTCTGAGTGATTTGGGGTCTCCTCTGGGAGGCTGAGAGCTGGTCTTTAGGGTGTGGTGGTGTATTTTTGAGTGTAGGTGAGGAAATGGGACCCCTTGCATTCTACTCATCTTCCTGCATTCAGCAAAGGATTGTGTATGCTGTCAGTCTCCCAGTCAGCCCAGGTTTTTGCTGTTCTTTATCCTGTTTTTACTGGTACTCAGGAATTACCAAAATCATTCCCATTCTCTCCCTCTTTTATCATGATTATGCCGAAGAGAGGACGTGGTTTGGATTCTCACACCTGGGAGGGAAGGTTATTTTCTTGGAAGATAATCTCTCTGGGCAGAGGTAGGCTCAACACACCACAGCTGTGCTGCTTTGGGTATATGAATGTTTGGATGCAGAGGTGGGAGCTAGGACAGCAGTTAGGAATGACCCATGTGCTGCTCTTGGCCTTCGGCACATCCCATACACAACTCAGCCCTCACCACAGGCCTTGGGACTGAAAGCTCTTGGTGTTTTACTGGTCAGGAAGGGTTGATAGATCTAGATTTGGGCTGTCTGTCGTGGCTGCTGAGCGTAGAGGGGAGCCTTGGGAACCTCCAGACTGCTGGCCTAGTGTTGTGTGTGCAACCAGCTGACCCACATAATTTGGGATGGGAATTTCTGGTGTTCCAGGAGTGATCTCAGCAGCAGAACTATGCCTTTGGTGGACGCTGAGGTAATATGAAATATTTAAATGTATCAGAGAAAAACTGTGGTTGGAAGGGACTGCTGGAAGTCTTTGGCCCAAACCAGAGCTAACTTCAAAGGTAGTTCAGGTCACTCATGGCCATGTCTGGTGGAGTTTGAGTATGCCCACGAGGGAGATTTCTGTACCCCAATCCCAGGGCTGACTGCGCTGATAACAAAGAATTGTTTTTTTCTGCGTGTGTAGTCAGAATTTCTCTTGCTGCAGCTTGTTGCTGTCACTTCTTGTCCTTTCACGGTGAACTTGGAGAAGTTTGACTTTGTCCATCTCTGATTCCTCAGTGATGTTGATCAGATGGGTGTTGTGGAGAAAAACATGCACCGGCTGACTTTCCATCTCCTTCGGTGCAGCCCTGCCGTTCTGACTCGCAGTCCTGGAGAGCTGCTGTGGAGATGTGCGAGTGCTCTGGGATGAGCCACAGTGAGCTTGGGAGTCCTGCTTGGTCTTCTCCTTCTGGTGGTACCTGCTGGAGCAGCGCTGCTTTCAGCATTTACGGTTGTTTGTGTTTGCAAGGCCTTGCTCTGATGCAAATCTTCAGTGGCTGCGAGGCAGAGCTTGTGATACGGTTCATGTCTTCTTGTGCTGCACATGTTTTTCTGTGATCAGTAGACTGTAACTGTTGAAATTGGAGAGTGAGTGAGGCTTTCAACTTTTGCAGAAGCTTTTACAGTTGAGAGACTCTACCTGTAAACAGCTGTGACTCCCGCTTCTGTAAGGGACACCATCTAAAGAGGGGACTGGAACCGTGGCTCTAATGAGCATCTGAAGACCCTTACAGTCTGCAAGGACTGCTTGCTCCAAGGGTGTTGCTGCAAAGAAGTCTGCGAGGCTGTGGCGCTGCTTGAAGTCTCTGTAGATGCCACCTGTACAACACAGCCCTCCACAGCATCAAGAATTCTGAGCAAAAACTCTGTCAGAAAGGTGCTGGGGTTTGGTGTAATGGCGTTGCACAGCGAGGAGGCTGTCACTGGTTTGAAGCATGTTATTTCCATAGTGTGTTTCTTCCCACTGACAATTCTGTAAGAAATGTGATGTTTACTGCAAAATTAGTGAGGATTTATCACTCCTAGAAGTTTCCTCCCTGTTTTAGTCACTTTAACTTTGGTGTTGAAGCCACTTGGGCTCTTTTCTTCTTGACTGAGCTGCTTACATCATATTCCTTAAATCTGTTGCTTACAGGGATGTTTCTCAGGATTGAATCCTTCTTATTGATATTCCCTGGACTTTCTCCCAGGCTCTCAGCAGCCTTTATAGGGGAGCGAAAGAAGCAGATTTATTATTCCAGTCTCGAGCTCGTGAACTCTGTGTGCACGCGGACCGCCTGAAAATTGAGCTGACTGCCTTTGCTATGGCATCATAGTGGAAGCTGTTGCTCAGTTGCTGATGCCTAATAATCTTTTAGTTTCTTTGCCGTTGTCTTTGTATCCTTGGTTGTATCTTGTAATGGGAATTTTGTAGTCACTGGAGACAGGCTCTTGGATTTGCTCCCCTGGGAGAGAGGGAGATGAAGACGAGCCTTTCAGCCCTCAAACTTCCCCACAGCTCTGTTACTGTGAGATAGCTTTCCCTTCACTGGATGTATTTCACTAATGAGAACAAAATTATTTTAAAATATCCTGTGATCTATTCAGCTGCATTTTCCTCCAGTTAGAAGCGTGCGTGTCATTAGGTGTTCCCTGCTGCTGTTCATGGGGAGGATTTACTTCCTGGCAGGTCATCTGAAGGTGGGTCCAGCTTCATCTGATTCCAACAGGAGAGGTTTGATTTAGGTCCTCTTAAGGAAGAGATGATGAATGGGGATGAAGGGAGCCAGAGCACCTAGCGAGCCAGTGATGCTGGTGCTGCTCTGCTGCATGTTTTCTTGGCCTGGGACCACACGTGACTGTCAGGGGCTGGTGGCAACAGATTTCTCTGATCTCTTCAGCCAGAAGTAACCTGTTGGTTTTGTTCCTTTCCAGGTCTCTTCACACTCCTGGTTGAAGATTTTGGTGAGTGCAAGAAACCTCCTGAAAGTTGTTTTCATGTTTGACATTATCCCTAGTCTTTTCTGGTGGTCTTTACACCAGCTTCTGCCCTTTGTTTGCAGGGGTCAAGGGAGTGCAGGTTGAAGAGATTTATGATCTGCAGAGCAAATGCCAAGGGTAAGTCACAGGTGTGAAAGTACGAGTTTTATTAAGCAGAATGCATCTGTGGGCCTGAGAACTTCTTGCCAGGTGTTAGAAGGGCCTGTGTGAGCTCATTGGTCATAGAGGTCAGTGTTGTAAGTGATACCAGAAGCGCTTCATCAGGTTTGGGGCAGATGGGCAATCTTGTGCCTTGAGAAAGACCTTGTAGGGCAGGTGGGGGACATACTTCAAAGGATTCATCTCCCTTTCTGCCTGGAGACGTGCAGTGTCCACCAGCGTGCTTGCAGTGTGGGCTTTCTCTCTGTCTCAATGCTTTGAAATGACTTTGAGGCTGTCACTTTCTGAAAAGTTGTTGTCTGAACTCCTCTTGGAAATGAATACAACATATATTTTAAAGGAGGGGTCATTTGGTGGTCAAGCACTATTATGCAGGTTGGTCAGTGTTAAGGGTGAATTTCACCTCTTGTCTCTCTGTTTTAAGCTTCTTAAGACCTGTCAAACCTTTTGAAGCTTGATTGTTGTCAGAGCCCAGAGCATCAGCACAGGAGTGTCCTGGGTTTTGGGGGGCTGGGGGGGACTTCTGGCAGGGATGGTCACTTCTAGAAAGATGGGGCTGGTGGTTCTGCTTTTCCTGTCTGTCTTTGCTCTGCACAGACAGAGAGGTTTCTGGCGCTGGATAGAGCAGTCCCACTGGTGTGGCATGTCCAAAATGGTGCAGCTGCTGACTTCTCTCCACAGCCCTGTGTATGGGTTCATCTTCCTGTTCAAGTGGATTGAGGAGCGCAGATCACGCCGGAAAGTCTCTACCCTGGTGGATGAGACGTCGGTGATCGATGATGACATCGTTAATAACATGTTCTTTGCTCATCAGGTAGGCTGGAAGCAAGGGAAAAGTGTGTGGGGGTGTCTTTGTGTGACACCACAGGGAAGCAATGTGGTACTGAGAGGATGCACTGCTCTTGCTGATCCTGAGGGCAGCACCTTTTTTTCTGGGAATCTCTGCCCTGAGCTCCAGGTTAGAGGGAATCCAGTGAGGGCTGCAAGCCTGTCTGTGGCCTGTGCTGTGAGCAGATGCTTATGGGGCCGTGGTGTGGCTCACTAAACGAGACCAACCTCCTTCCTTCCTTGGAGAGCCAAGATAGAGTCACTGTTCTCACAAGTGGTTCTTGCATCAGTACTTTTCACCTGATTGTTGTCGACACTGAGGGGTTGTTGAAGGGTTGCCTTGTTTCTGCTGGTTAAGATGGTCCTTGTGTCACCACCCTCCAGCTGATCCCCAATTCCTGTGCCACCCATGCCCTGCTGAGCGTCCTCCTGAACTGCAACAATGTCGACCTGGGCCCCACGCTGAGCCGCATGAAGGATTTCACCAAAGGATTTAGCCCTGAGGTAGGGGCAGGGGTGTGCAGGGCTGTGCGTGGGTGGTGCATGTGAATCTGCCTTTTGCTCCCCTCTCAGGATGATGCTCTAAAGAACTGGCTCCTCTCAGCCCTTTGTGGCTGCCCACTACATCAGCACTGCATCTTCTCTCTACTCTTCCTACCTTGCCTTGCTCAGAGCCTGGGTCCCCTTACACTGGGCACAGCTCTGAGCCTTCTGTCATGTTATTCCCTAGCCCAGATGCATTCTCTAAGTCTGTGATTAAAAGTCCTATCCTACCTTCAGACCTCTTGAAGTCTGTGTTTTTCTCTTAACTGTGATTTCTTTAGCATAATTTGAGTGTTCTTCTCATCTTGGGTTTTACCTGTAACTCAGCAGAGCAGAGGGTGTGCCTGAAAGTTGCTCTCCCAGTCCTAGGGAGGGAGGGAGGGAGGGGGGAGTCCATGGGTGAAGCATTTTATTTGTTTCCTGTTTCTTCTCAGTTGTTTTCCTCTCTCGCTGTTCGCTGCAGAGTAAAGGCTATGCCATCGGCAATGCCCCAGAGCTGGCCAAGGCCCACAACAGCCATGCCAGGTGAGTGTGGGGGTCTCTCACAGCTCACTTTTGCTGGAGGAGGCAGACTTTCCACTGACCTCTCACCTCACTTGCCCTTGCAGGCCGGAGCCACGGCACTTGCCGGAAAAGCAGAATGGTATCAGCGCTGTGCGAACCATGGAGGCTTTTCATTTTGTCAGTTATGTCCCCATCAAGGGGCGGCTGTTTGAGCTGGACGGGCTCAAGGTCTATCCCATTGACCACGGTAAGAGCCTGCCTGTCCCTACTCGTTGACACAGTTGAATAGACACCCTGGTATGTCCAAATGTGTGTATTATTTTTCATGCCCACAAAGCCTTAGCTGATGTTTGTGGGGAATTGCTCCAGTGGCTCCCAGATTTGTCCTGAGTTTTGATAGCTCCTTTTGGAACCCATATGCCGGGCACTGTGTCTAGAAGGCATTTTTTTCTAAATGCATTGCATTGCCTTTTCCAGCCTTGCCATTTTCCTCTCCAGTTGCTCAGGGTCATGAGGTCCTTCTGCAGCTCTGAAATAACTCAGTATCATGAGCAGAATTTGTCTCCTCCTTACTCCTTGTGCTGAATAACTGCTATGTGTTGAGGCACAAGGTCCCAACACAGATCCCAGCAGGCTGCTCAGGTTACTCCCTCTTCTTACAACTTGACCACTAGTTCTGTCCTTTATACACTTCCTTATCTGCATTAGGACTTTGCTTCTGCCTGTCCGGCCCTATGGTAAGGTCCTTACTTCATGTACTTGGGTTTCTTAAGCATGGCACCAGATCCAGTGGCAGCTGGATCCGAGCAAGACCTGGAATTTCCTTGGACTTTGTGACCCCAGAGCCTGTGAATAGCTCATAGTCTGTAGGGTTCAAACCTCACCTTTCTGCCCTCTGTATAACTCAGGTTTTCCATTTGGAAGGCTGAGGCAGGGGGTTCCACATGTGGGCTGGCAGCATGGTCCTGCCTCCTGGGCACCTTCTTGACTTGCTCCCTGGTATGTAAGGGAGCTGAGAGATTGCCTCTTGTGGAGATCCACTCTGTGAGTCTGAAGCAGGAGCCTTGTCCTGCTTTGCTAATTCCAGCTCTGTCTTGTTATCACAGGGCCATGGGCTGATGATGAGGAATGGACAGACAAAGCCAGGAGAGTAATCATGGAGCGCATCGGCCTGGCCACTGCAGGGTAATGTTCTAGGCCGTGCTGCAGGCACTGATCCCTCGCCATTTTTCCCTGGATTATTTCTACTGTGTTCTGCATGCAATAAATTGTGGAAGTGGGGGTGGAGAATATTGCCTGGGGGGAGGTGCAGATGCACTGCCTCCCTGTCTTCTCTTGCCTGCAATTTGCCTGCCTTCTGAGCATGCAGAGAAGCTGCGCTCTCTGTGATGCAGAGTCCTTGCAAGCGGCCGTGCAGGATAAGGTGGGCAGGTTAGGTCCCTGTTAGCTTGAGCCCATAGGAGGAGGAATGGTGCTTCTGGACCTGAGCTGGGCCTCTGGGGTGCTTGGGCATGAGGGTGACCAAGCGCTGGCCCAGGTTGCCCAAGGAAGATGGGGGGGGATCCTTGGAGATACTCAAAAGCCATCTGGACATGGTCCTGTGCCACCAGCCTCAGGTGGCCCTGCTGGAGCAGGGGGTTGGAGCAGATTAGCTCCACAGGTCCCTTCTCACCTCAACCAACCCGTGAATCTGTGAACGGTGTTTTGTGTTGTGGCTGAAGCAAACTTCCTCTGCTGTTTCAGCCAGTGTGAGTTTGACTTGGTTTGGGGAAAAAAGCCTCTGGTGTGGTGTTAAATGCCCGGGCAGGGGAGGTGCTGCCCGTGGGAGGTGGGCAGGGCAGGGCGGGCAGCCAGCTGACCCCCTGTGCCGGCAGCCGGGCTTTCCACTGCTCGCACCTGATAGCTGCTGTCCCTTCCCGCAGGGAGCCATACCATGACATCCGCTTCAACCTGATGGCTGTGGTGCCTGATCGGAGGATGAAGTATGAGTCCAAGCTGCACATCCTGAAGATGAACCGCCAGACTGTGCTGGAGGCCTTGCAGCAGGTAGGACAGCCCAAGACCTGGGAGGGGTGCAAGCCCAGCGTGGGAGTAGGCTCTGACTTCAGGGCATCTCCCTGTGCTGTGGGATTTTGGGGATTATTTTGGCCTTGGGACATGTCTTTTGGGAAGAGGAGATAACTAGCCTCACAGCTTGGCCTTTTGCTGCTCACCTGGGGGTTATCCATGGCATTGTTTGTTGTTTGTGCACATGGGTGCTTGGCTCACCCTCATGAGTTCTGTAGTGCTTGAATGGGAAGGATGTGGTTCGTGTCGCACTCAGCTTCTATCTGTCATTTGCCTTCAAGCTTATCCGAGTAACTCAGCCGGAGCTGATCCAGACCCAGAAGTCTCAGGATTCTCAGCCTCCTGAAGAGGCAAAGCCAGTCAGCAGCAAGACTGTGACTCCAGAGAGCACCCATCCAGGTAGACCCCTGTACCAGTGGTGTTGCCAGCCCGGTCCCCTGTGGAGGGAGCACAGGCTGGTGACACCAAATGGCTGACTTGGAGCTTGAGGCAGTTTTATAGTCAGCTTCACTTTATTTTCTCCAATCCCAGCTCTCTGCGCACTGTGCTGGGCTGTGGTAGATGCCTCTGTGCCTGGGAGGAGTGTTGGAGGGATGTGGGGCTTGAAAATGGGAGGGCTTAAGCTTGGGGACAGTTGTGGCAACTGGAGGTGGATGGGAAGGGGGTGTGATGGTCTGGTGGAGTGTAAGAGCTGTTCTCTTCTGTGGGGTGGGAAGGGGAGATAGAGGACATTGAGTAAAAGGTGATGGTGCTGCTCCTGAGAGACTGTGCTGTGCTTGTGTGGCAGATGGCACTGACGAGCCCGCCAGCCAGGGCCACCCTGCAGCCACGCAGAGCCCACCCAACAAATCCAAACCAGTGGCAAAGACGTCAGCAAGCGGTATCAACGGGGCGCCTCTGGCGAACCCCAACCCCATCGTGCAGAGGTTGCCGGCCTTCCTCGATAATCACAACTATGCCAAGTCCCCTATGCAGGTAGGCTGGTGCTCCAGGCCAGCAGCATGCCTGACTCAAGCTGAGCTTTTTGCTTCCAGTCCCTCACCTCCACGAGACTACGGCTGTCAGCCGGTCTGAGCCCTTCCACTGCCTCGCAGCTGGTCTGCCCTGGCACTGACCCAGGCTGCGAGGCAAGAGGGTAGATAGACACTGACCTGGCGAAAGAGGTTAGCATTAACGTGGGTCAGCTGGGTGAGCACAGGGAAGAGACCCCCGTCCCCTCTTGAAAGGGGCAAAGCCCCGGTGCTCAGCTGGATGGAGGATGTGCCACTGGGCTGCTCCTCCTTGCCCGGCCGCCGGCAGCCCATCAGCAACCATGTTTTGCAGGAGGAGGAAGACCTTGCGGCAGGAGTGGGTCGCAGCCGGGTCCCAGTCCGACAGCACCAGCAGTACTCGGATGATGAAGATGACTACGATGATGATGATGAGGAGGAAGTTCGTAACACCAACTCGGCCATCAGGTGACAGTTTGAGCTGAGGGTGTGAGCAGGGAGCTGATGTTTGCAGAACTGCCAGTGGTGGCTCCCAGATCTCCTCCTTCCTGAGCACTGTTAGCTGTGTTAGAACCTGCACCTGTGTATGCAATTAGGGCTGTTCTCCTTTTTGCCTGCTTTTTTACTGTTCACTCGCTGGATTTTGTAAAGCTCTTCTGTAGCTCTTCACAGTCAGCCCTGAATTTTGTCTGCCCTGAATATAACTCTGTTGGTAGGAGGCTTTGGGGAACCTCAGTTCCCCAATGCCATTTGCCAGATCAGCTCCTGGTGATGGGTGTGCTCAGGCTGCTGCGAAGGTCAGGAGGGTGGGGGGGTCACAGTGAGGCTGCTTTTGGGGCTTCTGGAAGAAGAGCAGGGGTGCTCAGCACCCTCTGCCCCTGGCTGTGTAGGGATACCCACAGCTGAGCCATTCAGTGGGGTGGGGTGCTGCCAGAGAAGCTGGTGGCAGTGAGGGTGACCTAGAAATGTTTCAGTCCTTGCTTCATCCCGCAGACAGCCTGGAGTGCTGAGTGTGGGGCTGGCAGCGCCTGTGCTGGGCCCCCACCTCCTTCCCCCAGCTACTCACCCCCCTCCCCGCTATGTTCCTGTGCAGGTACAAAAGGAAGGGACAGGTGAAGCAAGAGCACGTGGCAGGGGCTGCGGATGGTCAGCTCTCCGTCCTGCAGCCCAACACCATCAATGTCCTGGCGGAGAAGCTGAAGGAATCGCAAAAGGATCTTTCCATTCCACTGTCCATCAAGACGAGCGGCGGGGGCGCTGCTGTGGCCGTGGTCACCCACTCCCAGCCCTCTCCCACCCCCAGCAACGAAAGCACCGACACCGCCTCTGAGATCGGCAGCGCCTTCAACTCCCCGCTGCGCTCCCCCATCCGCTCAGCCAACCCCACTCGCCCCTCCAGTCCCGTCACCTCCCACATCTCCAAGGTGCTCTTCGGCGAGGAGGACGGCCTGCTGCGCGTTGACTGCATGCGCTACAACCGGGCTGTCAGGGACCTGGGGCCCGTGATCAGCACCGGCCTGCTGCACCTCACAGAGGATGGCGTCTTCTGCCCGCTGGCTGTTGCAGGTAGGTGCCTGCCAGCTTTTGTGGGGGTGACATGTCCCCTGTGGTGACGGGACAGTGTCCTTTTGCTTTGGGAGTTGATACCAGTCCTTTGTGACAGCTCCTAACGCTTCCTTCCCCTGTGTGCAGATGGGGGAAAAAGCTCCCCCCCTTCCATCAAACCCGGTGAAGAGGCCCTGGTCACAATCAAACTGGACGAGAAGGAAGGCAGTGAGGCCAGTGACAGCAAAGAGAAGGTGGGACTTGGCAGGACCAGTGATCACCCTGGGGGGGAAAAGTATTCTCCCAAGGTGAGTTTTGTGCTGTGACAGCCCTGGGAACGTGGAGCTCCCTGTGCTCACCCAGAGACGCAGCAGCGCTGGCAGTGACCGACCCGCATGTGCACGCTGTCCCGCTCGCGTGTCGCCGCAGCCGTGCCTCGAGGCACAGGGCAGTGCAGGTTTTGTGCCTCGCATCATCTCGGGGACATTTGCCTTGGCAGCGGGCAGAGCCGCTGTCTCCCGCAGTTGAGATGTTGAGCATGCTGTGCTCTCCTTCGGGCCAGAGGCTGGTGGGACCCTGCACCCCCAAATCCCAGCCTGCTGGTAACTTTCCTGCCTGTGTGGGCCTCCAGCCAGGGACAGGACTGGGCTCGGGCAGCACAAGCACATCAAAGGCTCCTTGGAGGAGAGCTTGTGAGAAACTGTTTTAGTCAAAAGGGAAGTCTTCAGATTCTGTTATTGAGAAGAACCGGGCCCTGGGGTGTTTCTCATGCATGCAACACTTCCCCCTTCTGCCTGAGCCTGGCCCCACACCAGGTACCTGTGCCTGGGCCAGGCTCAGGCAGAACCAGCTCCCCCGGGGCTGTCCATAGCACTGGCTGACCACCCTTGGACTTAGAAATTTCCTACAACAAACCAATGAACTCTTCTTTTTTTTTTTTTCCCCCCAACACTGGCAAGTTTTTTTTGCTTTGATGAATCCTCCCTTTCCCAGTTCGGAGAGGAACACCCACCAGCCCACCCCACTGGCTCCTGGGCTGTGGCAGGGGTCTGTCTGCTCACATTTGCTCTGCTTGATTCTGGCAGGAGCTGCTGGCACTGCTGAAGTGTGTGGAGGCAGAGATTGCAAACTACGAGGCCTGCCTGAAGGAAGAGGTGGAGAAGAGGAAGAAATTCAAGGTGTGTTTGTTGATGTCTTGTTTGCATTGCTGATCTAGCTCCCTGAAGGCTCCTGCCTGGGATGTGGAGGGAGAGTGGTTCAGCTGAGAATGAGCATTGGGGGTCCCTTCCCCATGGGGCAGAGCTCCCACCAGGACAGGTTGGAGCCCCTGGGCAGCACTAATTAGCTTGAGGAGGATGGCGGAGTGCTGCAGCTGGGCCACTGCTGAACAGCAGCACTGACAGGAGGAAGTGGGGAGTCTCTGCCCCAAGGCCTGGCAGGATTCCTCCCTGAAAACCCTCACCTCTTCCTAGCGGCCCTTTGTGGAAAATGCTGGCACCTGAACTGGGATGGAGACAGTCCCAGTTGTGTGCTGGCCTGAGCTGGGCTGGGAGGTGGGTCCCTTCCTGCCCTGGTCTCCTTGGCCTGGGGGCTGGGCCTGGCATGCTGGTTGTTTGCCCCTCGTAAACTTTGAGCTCCTTTCTCCCTGCCACGCATTTGGGGATTATTGGTGGATTTGTCATCTCTTCGTAGATCGACGACCAGAGGAGAACCCATAACTATGATGAGTTCATCTGTACCTTCATCTCCATGCTGGCCCAGGAAGGTGAGCGGTGCTGTGCGGCTGAGGGGATGGAGTGTGGGGTTCAGATTCAGCTGGGGGTGGGGGCACACGGCATGGCAGAGAGCAGCTGGAGCCTGGGAAGCTCACCCTGCCCTGCTCCCTGTTTCTGCCAGGCCTGGGCCACGAGGCAGCGCTCACTCTGTGCTCTGTCCTGACTTTATAGTCCCCGGAGGAGTCCATTGATGGGTTTTGGGTGAGAGGGAGGGCTGGGCCCCGGAATGGGCAGTCCCAGCACTCCAGCAGCAGCGTGTGGGTGTGCCTCTCCCCTGTAGGCATGCTGGCAAGCCTGGTGGAGCAGAACATCTCCGTCCGCAGGCGGCAGGGCGTCAGCATTGGCCGCCTGCACAAGCAGAGGAAGCCGGACCGCCGGAAACGCTCCCGCCCCTATAAAGCCAAGCGGCAGTAGCCTGGGAGTCAAGACTGTGTGAAGAAGCAGCTGGGCTTTGTGGCTTTGGGTAGTGGCACTTGGATCTATGGTACCCTTTGCCAAAGGAAGAGGGACCACAGCAACAAGCCCTCGGCTGAGGTGGAGCCTGGGGACAAAGAGAAATCGGGTTTTTCTCGGAGCCTGGGTTGTGAACGGCAGGAGTCGCGGCAGCAGAAGGCAAGCACAAGGGCCCCGCTACCTGACTGTGCCACAGCAGCGCCCAGAGGCCCTGGGCCTGCGCTTCGGTGCCGTGGCTGAGGCCTGTGGCAGGAGGGGAAGAGCCCACCTGGCGGTGGCAGATCTGGCGTTGTGGGAACGCCAGCGCTGCCCACATGAGGCTGTGCTGGCCACAGCTGGCTGTGGCTTGTCCTCCTGTGTCCAGGCCTTCAGGTCTGCTTCCCCAGGACATTGGTGTCTGTGTTTTCTATCCCTTTCCCTCCCTCCCTTATTTTTGGTTCTGCCTCACACTTTTGCTGTTGTTGAGCGAGGCGGCTCCTGGGCAGAGCCCCTTCTGCCCCCACCCAGCCTCTGCTGCAGTGCCCTGTTCCCACAGCTGGTCAGGCAGGTCCTGCCTTCCCCTGCCCTCAGCACTCCGGGGATGGCAACACCCCCTGCCAGCATGGCCAGGCTCCTCGGGGGGGCCATGGCAGCTCTAGTGCCAGCTGAGGAGGGGTGGGCTCGTCCCTGGAGCTGGGCTTTGTGCCCAGCCCTCTGGGGGGGTGTTGGGGGATGGCGCGTGGCTCTGCTGCCCTGGTGCTCTCCTAGGGACCAGCTCTGTGGCCCTGGCAGTGTCTGCAGGTCACAGTGTTGCTCCAGGCCCAGCCCCCAGAGGAAACCCCCTGAACTGTGAACAGACCAAGTCCGAGGGTGGCCTCGGTGCAGCCGGGCCTGGCACCAGGGTGGACGCTGGATGTGGAAGCGCTTGGTGCCCTTGGCAAAGCGCTCCAGGGTGGGGAGAGGGGGGTGGTAGCTGTAATGCCCAGGGTGGGCTGTGGACTGCAGGGGCAGGTGGCAGCAGTGCTGGGAGCCCAAAGCTGCTGCTCGCTGGCTGCTAACCCACCACCTGCTACCAGCCCTGCCAGTGCTCCTGCATGCCCTCAGCTGCCTGCTCCCAGCAGCCTGGCAGGAACCCCAGAAGCCAGAGGCCACACCTCTCTCCAGAGGGGGCCTGAGGCATAGCTGGGCCAAGGGGAGCTGCCACAGGAGAGGACTGCGTTTTGCAAATGTGCAAACCTGTGCAGATCTTTACTATGGAATGAAACTGTTTTTGTATTTGAAGGGAAGAAAATCCTTCTGTCTCTTGCTGTGTCTAATATCAAGTTCTGTAAATGGATCTGTCTGAAGGAATAAAGCTATCCTGTAACAGCCAGCCAAGGGAGAGGTGTGTGTGCTGCTGGGAGCATCAAGTGCCTGCTCCCAGCCCCACTGGCATCTCTGCTGTGGTGCTAAAAACGATGTAACTGGAGCTTGCAGTAAGACCAGGTGAAGTGATGCTGGTGGAGTTAAGCTCACTTTATTGATGCAGCTCCGAGGGCAGGAGGAGACGGGGAGTGGCTGGTAGCAGTCAGTGCTTGGCTGTTGCTGCCTGCCAGTGCTGCCTACCTCTGTGCAGAACAGCGGTGGCCCAGGCCCTCAGCTGGGCTGCTGTCCTGGGCTGGGCTGGTTTTCTGGTTAGAAGTCCAGGGCACAGATCAAGGCTGTGCCCCGTTTGACCCAGTGCTTCTGCAGCTTGTCCGTAGGGATCTCCACAGCAGTGATGTAGTTGGTGGAGTGGCCTGTTGTTGACAGTGTCCCTGTAATGGAGGAAGAGAGGGTGGGATGCTGTGCTGCAGCCCTGGCTGCTACACACTGACCAGGAACTCCTGTACAAGTGACCCTGTATAAGATCCCCTGTGCTAGGTGACAGCCTGGGCAGGGCTGGGGGAAAGGGACTTGGGTATTTTCAGGTGGGGGCTTGAGGAGAGCTTGGCCCAAAGGCACTGCTGCACACCAGGGTGCCCAGCTGCTCCATCTCCACAGCCGCAGCAGGATAAATCTTTTTCTCCCTGGATGGTCTCATGCAATTGTGCCTTGCTCCACGCCCCTGCACGCTCCTGCAGCTTCTCCTGGGCTGCCTTTCTCAGCTGCTTCTACACTCTCCCTTGATCCTGGAGATCTGTCTTCAGGGCATCTACCTGCACGAGTGAGGGTCTTATAGACTGGGCACAGGTAGATGCCGGTGGCTGGAGGCTTGCGGTTAGGGACAGGAAGCAGCCAGATGACGGCCATCTCTGTGTAAAGCTCCTTGGGGTGCGACTCTGCTAGCTGAAACGCAGCGGGGTCCCAGCGGGCGCCTTCGAGAAACAAGCCGTGGATGTAGCAGCCTTTGTCGGGATGGCGAGTGAGCTCACTCACCGACTCCTTCATTACCTGCAGAGGAGAGTGGGCCCAGGCCCTCAATTGAGCCATGTCCCTGGAGGCTCAGCCCCCAGGACCCCCTTTAGTGTCTCTTAGTTAAGTCAGCACTACTGAAGTGGAGCCTGCCCCAGCTCTCAGATGGCCTGGGCTGGGTTTTCCAGCATCTGGTGTCATGAGGCTGCAGAGCAGCCTGTGGCAAAGCCTGTGGAGGGGTATGTGAGCAGCTCTGGAGAGGCAGAGAAGCCTCTGCTTGCCTTGGGGAGGTGCCTAGCAGTGTGGATGGGTGTATCTGAGCACCAAGGGGGTGATGGGGGTCTGTGGACAGCTGTGCAGCTAGTGGCTTCACCTCTTGAGCAGGTCAGGGCTAGAAGAGCTGCCTTTGTGGCCTTTGAGCAGCAGATTCCAAAAAAAATTGAAATCCAGAAAACCCCAAAGTCTCTGTCTGCCTTACTGACCTTGAAGCTAAATGAGATGGTGTCAATGGAGATGACGGACTTCCTGGCGAAGTTCTGCAGTGTCCCAGTGAGGAAGGCCTGGGGAAAGAAGAACCCGCTGATCCAGAACACGGAGGGCATCCCCTGGGTGATCCATTTCTGCAGGAATTCAATGCGCTGCACCAAGTCATTCAGCCAGGATGCCAAGGGCTTCAGCGACGGGTAGGCCTGCGGGGCACCCACAGAGGAGGGTGTTGAATGCTGCTGGGGACACCCTTGTGCCCCAGTTGCTGACAGCTGCCCAGGGACTCACCCAGCCCAGGGCTGGGAACAGCTGCGAGCTGCAGCAGGCAGGAGACCTCTCCACGCCAGGGGAGCATGAGCCAGCTTCATGTGACAGCCCAGCCCCACTGCAGCGGCTGCTGGCCCATTCCCCTGTCCGAGTGAGCTCCTGCGGCGGCTGGGCTGGCTGGGGCATGTACCTTGGCATTCCACACCTCGGGGACAGCGTTGCTGTACAAGCTGCTGGCCATCAGCTCCAGCTGAGAGGACATCACCACCAGGCCCTTGAGAGCTTTCAGCAAATCCTTCAGTGTCTGAGCAATCACCTCCAGGAGCCTGTTGTACCTGCAGAGAAAGAGCAGAGGGAGCAGAACCACTCAGTGCAGTGGTTTATCACCCATGTCTGCCCATAGAGGGCCTGGATCTCTGTACAAGGAGTGAAGTTCCTCCATGTAACTCCCAGCCCTGCTCCTCTTTAACGGGGTCTCATAGCTGCTCCCCCAGCCCGGCATTGCTGACAGTAGTGGATGGAGACAGGGATCTGCAGAAGGTCCTGGCTGGGACAACAGTTGTTAGTTGGCTGCCAGCCCCGCTGCCATGCTCAGCAAGGAGGTTCCTCAGATGGGTGGGAGCAGGGGCGGGAGCAGGGGCCTGCACATCTCTGCTGCTCCCCGAGGGGCCAGCTGGTTGCTGGCCCAGGGCTGATCCCACAGGGGTTTTACCTGATCACCTCCTGTACTAGCACGGTGTTCATGGACTCTTCGTAGAGCTGTGGGTATTTGTGGATCACCTCCTCCAGGTTCATGGGGGCAGGCAGCTTTGCCAGGATGTCCTTGGAGGTCTCCTCCACGAGCTGGAAGGAAGGCAGCAAGAGGTGAGTGTCCTCCTGGCTGTGGCTGCCAAGAAGGGGAGAGGGAACACCAGGATGGTTGTGCCACTGCTGGCACCCAGCAGGCAGGGTGGCACCTGCTGAGAGCTGGTGTTAGTGCTCACTGCCTGCGCCGGGCACTGGCTGCCAGAGCACCGATGGGATCAGGGCACCCACCTCTTCCCTGCTGCGGCCTCCCAGCATGAAGGTCTTGGGTTGCAGCTGCGTAATGGCCCCCAGCAGAGCAAAGGTCTCCTTCTGAGCGAAGGTGATGTTGGCATTCTCGTGTAAACCAAAGAGCTCTGGGCTATCGTTGAGCGGCAGGCTCTTGATGTACTGGAGGTAGTCCTGCAGAGGAACCCACACAGGTTGTGAGGACAAAAGCACAGGGATAAAGCTGTGGTGCTGCTACGGGCCTGGTCCAAAAAAAATGACTAAGCCAGGGTTGCTGGATAAGCTAAACCCCACAGATCAGACTTGCTTGGGAGATATTCCTTGTCTTGGTGTTTGAGACTGATTCATCTGACTTTTGCACAGCTCTTTGACCCATCACAGCCAGGAAACACAACTTGCAGCTTATGCGTATCCACAGCAATGCCTGCTGACACAGAACTTGGGATGCCAGGGTAGCAGCTCCTTTGAGCCAGGTTTGGTGGCTGAGTGGAGGTCATGGTTTGTGGTCTGGCTGGGGAGTTAAACTGCACTTGTGTAGAAGCAAGCGTATGCTACAAGAACAGGCAGCTTGGCAGTGAGCTTTGCTGTGTCTCCTGCAGAGCTCCTCGGGTACTTTAGGCATGTGATATCAAAATGATTCAGAGTACAAAAGCTTTCAGCTGGGGAACTCTGGTGATAGTTGCTACCACCTCCTGTGCACAGGGACAATATTTTCCTCCTATTGCTTGAACCAGATGCAGCTTCCTGAAAGGAGCTGAAAATGCCCAGGATCTTACAAACTTATATTCCCCCAGGGAACTGGAAACACAGGAGTTTCAGGGAAGAGTAGATCCCCATTGCACTATGATGATCCCTCTGGATCTATGAGCTGCAATTTGTTACTCATGCACTTACATCGAGGTCAGATGAGGTACTGAGCTGCTTGTAGATTCCTGATTCAGAATAGGCAAACTCAGGAATTAAAACTTCAGGCTTGTAGAAATCTTCCAAAGTACTCATGATGCAGCGCCTGTCCCAGTCGTCAGTCACGCGGCCGCCGTAGTTGATCTCCCCAGCCGTGTACTTCAGAACCTGTGAGGGAGCCCCCCATGGCTTTCTGACCTGCATGTGTATCGTGAGCCTGTTCTCTACAGAGGAAGGGCCAGCTCATGCACTTACCTTGTACGGGATGTCTGTGTATTCACTCAAGAACATCCGTAGCTGACTGATGCAGATGCGGAGGTCTCCATCTGTGAACTCGTAGGGGATGTTGAACCCCAGAGGCCCAAACTTTCTCCTCTCCAGCATGTTCCCATGGAAGAAGCAAAGTGACAGCAACAAGGATTTAAACTCTACGACCTGTGGGCAGGGGAGCAGGGAGAAGAGGTGCTCAGCTTATGAGGAGGCATCCTTGGATGGGGTCAGTTCCTGCTGGGACCTGGCACAGGAGATGTGCCAATTCAGCAGTGCCACGTGGAGCCTGGAGAGGTGCAAACCTCAGTCAGGCTGCTGTGCTGGGGAAGGCTGTGACCCAATCCCTTGCTTAAAGAGAGCTGTAAGTGTCTTATGCCATGCCTCCACAATCCTGTTGCTTCCATTTCTCAGAGTGAAACTTCTAATTGGTTCATCACAGAGCAGATGTGGACTGATGAGAAATACCACCTGCCCTTCTCTAGCATGTGAGAGCTCTAGTGGAGAGGAATATCTACACCTGGAGAGGAGCAACATCCAGGTGGACAAAATACACTGGAGCAGGCATGGGCTGGGGACAGCAAACCAAAACACAACCTGGGTCTTACCTTGGGGCAAGAATTCAAGAAGTCATCACTGAAACTATTGTAGGACTTGAGCAGGGTGGCCTTGACCCCACGGGGGGGCTCAATGGTCATCTTGGAGCCATTCTGGAGGATGGACACAGGGAAGCGGTT